ACACCAGGATATTTATTATTGCCTTTGAGCCTTTGCTTATACTAACCCCTCTCCCTGGAACACCTTCCCGTCACCACTCTCTCAATTCTACAAAATCCTTAAGGACCTACGCAGCTCAACATTTTCTCCCTCCCTGACCTAGGGTGGACTGAGAGCCATTCTTGGCACTTCTCTTATAGTCAGAGCCTATCGCCATCCCACATTTCCTCTTTGTTTTAGTCTATTGTATTATTAATATTCTTTTTTTTTAAATATATTTTTATTGATTTTTTACAGAGAGGAAGGGAGAGAGATAGATAGTTAGAAACATCGACCAGCTGCCTCCTGCACATCTCCCACGGGGGATGTGCTCGCAACCCAGGTGCATGCCCTTGACCGGAATCGAACCCGGGACCTTTCAGTCCGCAGGCCGACGCTCTATCCACTGAGCCAAACCGGTTTTGGCAGATATTCTTATAAAATTTCTTATAATCTCATTATTCCAAAGTAATTTATTTTCATTGTCCATCAACTCCTAACTCCTCAAGAGGCACCTCCAATATATAAACTCGGTGACTTTCAACATAACTCTCAGGATATTTAGAATTGTGGTCCACAAATCAAAGATATTTTAAGATAACAACTGTAAACTTCTCCTTTCTCATTACAGGTGAAGAGAGCTATAGAAATCTATAACTTAGGAACTGCTCTTGAGCACCGGAAAGAAATGCTAAATTTCTGGCATAAGATCCGAGGGGATTTGGTTGGAGTAGACACTAAAAATGAGTCCTTTTATGAAACCTTTTCTACTTATACATGGTCCTGGAATGTTTGCCAAGAATTACTTTCCCCAAAGGACTTAAGGTTGTTTGATGCCTGCATGAATAGAAATTCCTTCCACAATTCTTCAGTCTCTTCCTCTTCGGATACCAGTGAATGTGACATAGAAACAGGAAGAAAAAGAAAACGGAAAGGTTTCAAAGGGTCTCGACAATGAAATTCCTACATTTTCTAAGCAGCTCATTTCACTCTACTTTTTCATAGATATCAAAATTATGGTTCTTTGATTTTGTCTAGTACATTCTTAGCAGCTGGAAATGTTGACATCTTTTAAATTCTAACCAGTGAAAAAGTTTAAGTCATAATATGGTTTCCCTTTTCTAATTGTTTCTAGTAAATAAATGTCATTCAGTTATTTCCCTAGCAACCAGCTGCCCTCTGCTGCCCCCATCTGGCTCTGGCTCAACACTGCCTGGGCAGGAGAAAAACTGAAAGCAGGCACTTACCTGGACACAGAGCTACTTACCCTTGTGAGCTCCTAAGGGCTCTCAGCAATAAACATCTGAGTTTATGTGACTATAAATGGCATTAGGGTTTTTTTTTTATTATTTGTCAGGGTGGCCTGAGGCAGTGGATGACAATGACCTTTCCGTTTCAGGGAATAATATCACCATTCCCCAGGGAGTCTTGATTAAATGTGGGTGTTCCTAAGGCTCCTTTAGCCACATACCTTCAGGCCCTCTTAAAAACAGCCCTTCTCACCCATTACATTTCTTGTTGTTGCCCTTTAATACACTGAATAAAGCAGCACATAATAACTATAAGTTTGGGGTTGTAATTATTTTATTGTGGAAAATGTATATAAAACTTACTATTTTAATCATTTTTAAGTGTATATCACCCATTACACTTTTTCCATTATAGAAAAAGGAAAAAATAAATAATAGAAAAAGGAAAGGACATGTTCCATATTGATGGTGCCAGTGGCTTATAATGTAAAATTATAACATTCCAGGAAAAAGCAATAAAGAGAATGAAGGTAGCAAAACTGTTTAATAAAATAGCCTTGAAGTAATTTTGTGTTACCTTGAATATTCAAAACCATCTAAATATACTTGCCATTATTCATAATATTATATTGGGAAAAATAACTAACTTTATAGATAAATGGCCATGTTTTCTAACAAAAACAAGATTTATAGTTTGATAAGAGTTGTTTATTTTTGTATGGCTGCGAGTGTAACAGGCAATCTAAGAGATTTAATTTGGATGCCAAAATATTAGAATTCTTGGGATACTTCCTTGGACCAAGGGGATAATAAAATAATGTTTTAAGTAGATCTGTCCTGGAAAATAAAAAATGTACAGTAATATATTCTTTATATTAAATTGGCACATACTGTTGATGACAGTATAAACTAGCATCTCTCTGATGGAATACAGTATAGCAATGGGTACTCAGCCATTCATTCGCCAATTATTTATTGAGTTGCATACTATGTATGCTGGACCCTGGATCCAGGATCTGGATATATAACAGTAAACAAACAGATAAAATGCCCTGACCTCACAGAGCTTAGTAATGGAGCTAATTATAACCATTGACTCAGTACTTCCAGTTCTAGAAATTATTACTAAAGAAATAACCGTGAATGTACAAAATGATTTTGTTATAAGGATGTTTATCATGTCGAATTTTTAGGTAAGAAACTTAAAGAAGTCTAACTGTCCAATAAATCGTGATACAACTATATAAAACAGTACCAGGATAATTAAAATGATGTTGTAAAAGAATATTTCAAACAAAAGAATGATATCCACACGCTATTATTAAGTTTAAAAGCAGGCTACAATTGCTAAGAAGCATGAGAGAACTTTATGGGTTAGTTCTAAAACTTAATTATGATGGTGGTTGCACAAATATAGATTTTTACAAAAACTCATTGAACCGTACACGTAAAGTGGATGAATTTAATTGTATGTAAATTATACCTCTATGAAACTGTAAAAAAAAATGGGGCACGGAGCAGTTTGTTCTGAAAGTAACTTAAAAGTTATTTCTACAAATAAATTAGAAAAAGAAAGGAAGGATATAAACCAAAACGTTTAATGGGTTAAATGAAGGATGAGATGGGATTTTTTCTTTTGTCTTACCTATACCCTCTAAATGTTCTATAATAAATACATATTTATGTTGCAATAAGTAAAAACAAAACGGAAAATCTGTTTTAAAATTGAAGTTTTAAAACCAGCCTTTTCAATTATCTAGGGCTGCTGCAAATGCTGTCCAGGTTCTATGAAACCTTGAAAGCAAATTATGACAGCAAGGTGCTTTCCCCAAGCCCTTCCGTTCCAGAGCACATACTTACACCAACCAAAATTTCCACTGATTGAAACTGAAAGAAGAGCATGAAACAGTTAACTACCTCTGCCCCGGGTTGACACCCAAGGCAATAATCCAAACTGGAGTTCTTAACCTTTACATCCTTTGAACCCATGCCACCCACTGAGCTAGTAGAGTTCTCACTACTCACCAGCAGAGGGACCCTTAGCTCCTCTGTAACATAGGGTGGCATGAAGTCTGATAATGATAGAGGACTCAGCCATGTCTTCCAAATTTTTTCGGAAGAAAATATTTAAGTGCTTCAAAAGATGAAGAAAAATGAGTTGTAGAGGTCAAAGATAATTGTATGAAAGTTAAGTATTAGGATACTTTAAAATATGTCATGGGGTGGGGGTAGGGGTGGAAGAGTACAAGGAGGATAAAAGGTGATGGGGGAAAAAGAAAATAAAATAATTAAAAGTTTTTTTTAAAAAAAAACACATATCATCAATAGGGCCCAACTTGTTTGACATTTTAAATGACTCCAATTATTGAAACTAACATAAGTAACTGAAAAGTCAGCTCTCTGCAAGAAATTACGAAGTGGGGCAATTGAACTCTAATAGCTTTTGGTGTAGGGAGAAAAAAAAGTCTGTAGATGAGAGAACAAGATGCCAAGAATAAGCATAAACCAACCATCATATCTGCAAACAGCTAGCCTTGAGAAAAGATAGAAATCCTTGTATTTATTTGGAAAGGAGGTTTTGTTCAAATTGTTTCAAAAGACTATGACAATGCAAGAGTCTTTTGCCTTCAAATAAAGTACAAGTTCTGTTACTATCTTATCTTTTTTATTCACTCGTGTATTTTTCTTGATGATTAGAGAGAGTCTGGGAATTGTTCCCATTTCTTTGGTGGGCGAGGTATAGAAGAATCTCATTGCTTCCCTTAGGTTTTTTTTTTTTTCTTTTTAAATATATTTTTATTGATTTCAGAGAGGAAGGAAGAGGAAGAGAAACATCAAAGATGAGACTCATTCATTGGCTGCCTCCTGCACGCCCCCTACTGGGGATTAAGGCAACCCAGGCATGTGCTCTTGACGGGAATTGAACCAGGGACCCTTCAGTCCAAAGGCCCACGCTCTATCCACTGAGCCAAACCGGCTAGGGCTCCCCTTAGTTTTGACTATGGGAAGAATCTGCAATGGAGACAATGATCACTGGTTACCCGTGTGCTAAGTCTAGTACTGCTCTACTCAAGTAACTAATCCTTCTCTTCTCCCAAATGGTAGTCATCCCTCTTCTGGAAATCTTCTCAACTAGCTTTATCTTCTATTGACAGCCTACTTTCTTCTAGGCTCTTGTGAGAAGCGGTTTGTAGTAGTTATCCAAATAGAAATGTAAGGCTGAGATATATTCATGTCACAAAACTGTATCTGTGCATGATCTGGACTGTGCAAAATAAGCTTGGATATGGATAATTCAAACAGGTTATAAAAAAAAACTTTTAAGTTCTCCTCGGTTATTTATTTCCTATACTTCCCCCACTCCCCACCCCCAAATTGTATGGAGATATTTCATAGCTTTTCGCACTATGAAAAGCTGATTCTAGCGACTGGAAAATTGCCCTATTTCCTCCCCCTGCGAGCTACCTTCCTCAATTCTTTTGGCCACTCGGCTCTACCGTGGAATTGCCTTCCAAATTGCGTGGAACGGGGACCTTTTGGATCCCAGCATTGGAAGGAGGCTCAAGTGGAACGTCTCCCGCCCTCTCGCCACCGAGCGAGTCCACCAGAGGCCACCCAGACCCCGGCCACCCGGCTCGCCCCGCCCCCTCTTTTCCCGCCCGGACCCCGCGCCTCCGGAAGGGGGCGTGGCCCCGCAGGAAGTTCTCGCGTGACGGAGCGGCAGGTATTTCCGGCTCCGGTATCATGGCAGACTCCAGCCCGGAGTCCGGCGCGAGGAGGCCGCAGTTCGGGAGCCGCTTGCTGAGCGACCCGGCGCGGGTCTTCCACCACAATGCCTGGTAACCGCCCTGCCCCGCGTGCGGCCGGCGGCCCGCCCTCCGCCCCTCGCCCTGGGCGCCCCGCCGAGCCCCTGGCCGCAGCCACGGGTCCCGCTGCCTTCCAGGCGCTCTGCTCCCCGGGGAGGGGCGTTCCGAGGCCGGCGACTCCGCCTGTCCGCAGCTGGGACGCGAGGCCCCTGAGCGGCTGTTTGATTCTCCCAGGGACAATGTGGAGTGGTCGGCAGAGCAGGCCGCGGCGGCGCAGAGGAAAGTCCAGGAGAACAGCGCCCAGCGGGTTTGCCCGGAGAAGCAAGGTGCGCCCCGGGGGCTCTCAGTGGATCCCAGCGACCTGCTGGACGCGCCTTGCGGGAGGCCAGAGACCCGAGGTTGCCGAGAGCCTTTTGTTTAACTGTGCTCGGGGGTAGAACAGGAGATGTGCAAGGATGGAAATGGGGTACCCCGGTCAAGTCATGTTAGGGCATAGAGGGTGTTTTGTTTTGGTTTTGTTGTTGTTGTTTTTTTTGGGGGGCGGTTGACACTATTTTCTAGTGCTTACGTTTTTAATTATGTTGACTAGACCAGTATTAATATGGCTGGCCTCTGGCAATCGCCACACGGTTGTTTTAGAGGATGTATTTTCCGCATGATTACACTTTGCCTGAGGAAATGTTACCACTGAAGCTAGCAGGTGGTTGGGTTCTAAATGTTGGAAGAGGGGACTAATGACTGGTGAATTGTGTGTCTTTTCTTTGTGTACTGGCTGTGAGGCTTTGGGGCTCCTGCCAGGGAAAGATGGGTGAAACGGGATGGAGATAAGTCTGGCCAAAGAAAAAGAGACTGCTTCCGGAGAGGGGGATGATTTCACTGCAGAATATTCCTACCTAGACACTAAAACTCTGTGTTGGGCCTGTGTCCTAAGAGATGATTGAAGGTAGGACTAGCAGTTGGAGAGTAGTTCCCATTGAAAGAGAATTAGATGATCGCAGTTACAAAATATTTACCTTGCATAGTTTGACAGAGCAAGTCAAAGGTGAAAGAGAATTTGAAAATCATGTGATCCAATAACCTCTTTTTACAATTAAAGAAACTTGGACCCCAGGACATGAAGTGCCTTACCCAGAGGTAAGCAGTTGGTAGTAGCAGTGGTGGAACTAAAACCCGACTTCTTAGATTTTTATTCTTCTACTACACTAGTCAAGGTCCTGTATTGGCAACGAGCAGAAAACTGAAATCTAGAGCAACCTTGATCACCTTCAACAAAGCTTGATCACCTTCAAGCTTTCTTTTAAACAGTCCACACTTCTTTAGTATATATATCCTGTCCTCTGTCGTCAAAACTCTTACTCGGCTGAAGACATTTTTTCTGTGTCAACTTTCTCTGTTTTCCTCTTACCTTCTTCCCATTTTTAGTATCCACACTCTAAAGAACCACAGACAAAGGAACATATTTAAAGAAGAGCTGCCTGTATCAAAACCATTGAGTTCACATGGGGAACAAACGGAAGAACCTGGGATATTTAGCTTGTAAAAGATCTAGAGGGGGAAATGACTGCCCTCAAACACGAAAGAGTTGTTTTGTATGGTCCTGAGAAATGGTGGGACCTTTTGGCCAGAAGTTATTAGATTTTTTTTGAACATTAGAATTTTCTGATAGCTGAGAGCCGTGCAAAGATGTGGGAGAAGAATTGATAGGTAGTCGGTGCCTAGGCAGAAGTTGTACTCCATAGAAGGGCAAGATATGGAGGGAATTCACGTATGATAGGTCTAGCACTAAATGATCTCCATCTCTGAGACTATGGCTCTAATTGAGGATACTTTCAGTATAAAATGACAATTGATGAAGCAAGGTGACAATTGACAGTAGATACAAATAAAATGTTGAGAAATGGTTCTTAAAATCTTTTCTTAAACATTTACAGTTGATTATGAGACTAATGCCCACAAATATTGGAATGACTTCTACAAAATCCATGAAAATGGATTTTTCAAGGACAGGCATTGGCTTTTCACTGAATTCCCAGAGCTGGCACCTATTCAGAACCAAAATCACTTGATGGATTTGCTGTCAGAGAATAAGAGGAGCGAAGTGCCTGAATGTAGGAGCAATGCGGATGGACCCGGTTTAATAACAGAAGAACAGCACGAGTGCTCTTCACACAGCCTTGGGCATAAAACACAGACTCTTCCTGTGGAAGAGAAGGTAACTCAGAAACTCAGTCACTTGGAAATCTCTGCTGATGAGTTTCCTGGATCCTCAGCCACCTACCGAATACTCGAGGTAACCTTTCTTTATTGTCCTGGTAGTAGGTTAGAAAAGTTGTAATGTTGTGCACATGGTCAGCATAGAGAGGCTGACCACAAAGTGACATCTGTCTGCAGAAGACTTGACCCTTATGTTGGCCAGGAATCACCTCCATTAAAAAAAATTTTTTTTTCCCCATTGATTTCAGGGAAAGGAAGGTAGAGGGAGAGAGAGATAGAAACACCAATGAGAGAGAAACATCCATGGGCTGCCTCCTACGTGCCCCCTACTGGGGATCGAGCCGCAACCAGGGCATGTGTCCTGACTGGGAATTGAACCAACAACCTCCTGGTACATGGGCTGATGCTCAACCACTGAGCCACACTGGCCAGGCTCACCTCCATTTTTTAACTGAAATGCCCTAAATGTAGACCAAGATATTTGGTGGTTGTGGCAAGCAAAGATAGATCACCTGAGGTACTACCTGGGACATCATATTGCATCTGAAAGTTGTAGGTTATATTGCACCTGTCATCTGGAAGAGTCCCATGTCCCAAGACAACTTCTATTAATGGTATTGCAGAGGCCAGGGTAGACCTGGAAAAGTGTCTAGGTCGGTGCTGTAATGTAAATTCACAAATGATGACTACATACTCCACTGGAAGCTGGTTAGCCTTGAGATTGAGTCCTGTGGCATGACCTTGTACCTCTTACCCTCCCCAAGCAGAATGGGGCTTCTGGCTCTCTCTTTCTCCCTCCCTCCTTCCCTCATAGTTTTTTGAAGATGTGTTGAAATGGTGTATGTAAAATAGTTAAGAATAGTGTCTGGCACATAGTAAGCCCTTAGTAAATGGTCACTGTTTTTATTGTACTGTATTTAAGGACATTGTAATCATGGTTCCCTTTTCATTAAATTTTCCCAGTATATTAGAAATATTTTTCTGTGATATAGTAGAGCTCAATATGAAAATAATTCATCTACAGGACCATTCACTAGAATTCAAAAAGTAAAAGCAGCTCTGACCGGTTTGGCTCAGTGGATAGAGTATCGGCCTGTGGACTCAAGGGTCCCAGGTTTGGTTCCGGTCAAGGGCATGTACCTTGGTTGTGGGCGAATCCCCAGTGGGGAGTGTGCAGGAGGCAGCTGATCGATGTTTCTCTCTCATCGATGTTTCTAGCTCTCTATCCCTCTCCTTCCCTCTCTGTAAAAAATCAATAAAATATATTTAAAAAGAAAAAAAAAAAAGTAAAAGCAACCCTGTTAACAATAAATGAATTTTTTTTAAAAGTAAAAGCAACCCGTACCTTTTTTTTCTAGACCCTTCGGCTAATAAAAGCCCATGCTACTTCTGTACGTGTTTTTGAGGTCAAGGTCAGGGAATGTCATAGGTACTGTTTAGCTCTGGTCACTACATCATCCCTAACACAAGTGGGCAAGATTATCTATTGTTGATTATTTATCTAGCTTCGGTAATTAATTTGGAAAGTTCTGTGATTAATAATTCATTTCTGTCTGCAGGTTGGTTGTGGTGTGGGAAACACAGTCTTTCCAATTTTACAAACCAACAAGTAAGTATGTTGTAAAGTTTATGACAGCAAATAGGAGGAAAGTGAGGGGTTGTTTATCAAAAGTTTTACATCAAATATAACTGGTTATTGGGAGCCATGGGTTACAGGAGATTTGCATTTCTACATTATCCAATTATAGATTGTTTTGACTTAATCTGATTTATATGTTAACCTTGTCATCAAGGAAATCAGTGAGATTTAAACCTTTTACATTGTTAATATATGGTACTTTTATAGTTTAACCCTGTTACTCAGGAAAGAGGATAGACATAGTCCAGTTTGTAATGTAATTCTTCTGCTGTTTTTTTTCTGCCCATTTCAGTGACCCAAGACTCTTTGTTTACTGTTGTGATTTTTCTTCCACAGCTATACAACTGGTCAAAGTAAGTGCAGTGGCTCCTTTCAGTAATTTCCACTGATTAAAGGGAAAGGGTCTTCTAAAAATCATGGTTTCTAGCTATTTCCTTACTGTACTGTGGTCTAAAAGTCAAAGATTTACTGAAATAGCCTGGAGGAGAGGAAAGGGTCAAACAAATACAGAGTCTGCCACTTGCCAGCTGTGTAACTTTGGGCAGCTCTTATGACCTCTCCAAACTTATATTTTAAGGATTGAAATGAGATGATTGTTCAGCCAAAGTTCTTTGTGTTACAAGTCGCAGAAACATGTAGACAAACTCAACCAGTACAGTGGAATGTCATAGAACCCAAGAGCATCAAGTGTAGCCAGGACTGAAACTCAGCCCTGAAGAGGTGTCCAGTGTCAAGGCAAGTTGGCTGGCCAGTGAGACGTTGCCGCCCCTTCCATCACTACACCTCCCTCGAGTCCATAGTGTCCTATCTCTCATTGCCCAGTGCTCACTTACCTTTTTCAAATTAGTTTTCTCTTTGCAGACTAGCTTTCTGTAGTAGGTTTTTCCTCGTTTTGCACATGGCCCCGACATGCTTGCCCCTCCCAGTTCCTTACAAGTCCGCCCTGTTCAGGTATTCTCAGAACCTCACCAGAATGACTGTCCCTGTACCAAAGACTCCGGTCTTGGTTAACCCAGCCCAGCTGGTAATCTCTTTTGCTAGCCGGTTTGGCTCAGTGGATAGAGCGTTGGCCTGCGGACTGAAGGGTCCCAGGCTCGATTCTGATCAAGGGCACATACCTCGGTTGTAGGCTTGATCCCCAACCGGGAGGCAACCAATCGATGTGTCTCTCTCACATTGCTGTTTCTCTCTGTGTGTCTCCCCCCTTCCCTTCCACTCAAAAAATCAATGGAAAAATATCGTCGAGTGAGGATTAACAACAACAAAAAAAGGAATGTGTGCTTTAATGATTAGAGCTCTATTCCTCAGAGGGAAGTAACTGCAGTTACACTTAAAGCAAGATTAGCTTACCTTGAGGCTCTGTGAACATTTTCTAACCCATGTGTTGTCTCTCTCCTCCAATTATCTGCAGACAAATTCAGCGTATGATGCAGCAAGGTGTTTTGCCTTTGTTCATGATTTGTGTGATGAAGATCAGAGTTACCCGATTCCCAGGGATAGTCTTGATGTTATCATCCTCATATTTGTTCTTTCAGCGATTGTTCCAGAGAAGTAAGTAGTATAAAAAAAGCAAAGCTTTAGTCATGGACCTTGATATCACAGTTGGGCCCTAAATTAAAAAAATGTTCTGACAAACAGAAAGAAGCCTCTCCATCTGAAGTGATAGAAGCATCTCAACCGTTTTCCTGAATTTGTCTTGAAGTCCAACTTTTGTTTCAGCCTCTAAAACTGCTTATTGACTTCATTGATGGATTCTTCTTTTCATTTTTATGGTATAACATCCCCAAAGAATGGGGGGGGGGAAACATCTTTAATGGGTATTTGGAGAAATTTCATATTGATTATCTCATAGCACGCTGTTTCAACATCTCATTATTGGCCTTTTCAAATGAACCAAGGCTTTTTTTTTCCCTCTCTCTTTTTTTTTATTGATTTTAAAGAGAGGGGAAAGGAGAGAGAGAGAAAAGTTGCTTTATTCCACTTAGTTATACACTCATTGGTTGTTTCTTGGATGTGCCCTGACCGGGGATTGAACCCACAACCTTGGCATATTGGGATGTTGTGTTAACTAACTGAGCTACCCAGCCAGGGCATAAACCAAGCTTATTAACAGCACAGAATGTACAGTGAAGCCTCACTCAGCTATTCTCTGATACTTGAGTTCTGTGGAAAACAAGTATAGTAGAATTTCATAAAATCAATTTAGGTAAAAGACAATTGCTGTTCCCTAAAAGATACCGCTAAAGCCTCATAGAATAGACATCTTGTCTTCCTAGTAAAATACCGTCTCAAGGAAGCAGTGTTGGTTGGAGACCCGGGGGAGTGATTAATTTTCTCCAGCCCATGTTTCCTCTAGAATAGCATTGAGTCATCTGACCTGACAGGGATATTGTGAGTGTGCAGTAAAGGTAGATGCAGAACAGCCCAAAGTGCCTGGCATGGCTCAAAACATTAGTAACTGCAGAAGTTTAAGTGCTACACCTTTAAAAAACTTACATGGACTGAAACGCAGCATTAAAGTTAAAAATAAGTTATTCAGTACTTAAATAAACTTTCAGATTTTTTTTGTAAGTTTGTGGTGTTTATACTTCTGAAGTTAGAAAAGCAGAATCCTGTTCCACACCACGTCTCAATATGAAAAGTACAGTAGGAAATATGAAGCACTTTGCTCAGTTACTCCTTTGCATACTGATGTAAATTGTAAGTTCTTGAGGTTCAGTCTTTACTTAACAAATGGAAAGATCTGCATTCAAACAGCTTGAGCCTAGAGGGGAGGACGATGAGTTCACTAGCAGTCCCATAGCAGGTGGTGGGAGCACAGGGCCGGGATGGCTTCCTCCGGAGGCAATCCCAGGAGGAGAAGGAAGTGAGCCAGGCAGAGTGTGTCACTCTTCCTATGGTGGAGCCCTAAGACAGAAGGAGGTTATCCTCAGTTATTAGCAGGCCCCAGAAGGCACATGAGAAGTTTGGATGTGTGCTCCCGTTCTAAGTAAAGCAAGGGCAGAGGATCTAAGACTTCAGGGTTAGGAAGTCCACGGTCTTTTTAGAATATGCAGCAAGGAAAAGGAATCTTGCCCAACCTGGTTGAGTGTCCACTTATGAACTACGAGGTCACGGTTCCATTCCCTGTCAGGGCACATGCCCGGGTTGTGGGCTCCATCCCCAGTAGGGGGTGTGCAGGAAGCAGCCTATTGATGATTCTCTTTCATCGATGTTTCTATCCTTCCCTTCCTCTCTGAAATTTATAAAAAATATTTTTAGAAAAATGAAAGGGAACCTTATCCTTAAAGAGGCCTGATCTTCATTCCCTGTATCCCACAGGATGCAGAAGGCTATCACGAGGCTGAGCAGGCTTTTGAAGCCTGGAGGGATGATGCTTCTGCGAGATTATGGCCGCCATGACATGGCTCAACTTCGGTTTAAAAAAGGTATTTTGCTACTGTAATCAAAACAATAGTTTTGCCATCAGAATAGACATACAAGTCAGTGGGACAGAATAGACACTAGAATTATAGCTTCATATGTAAAACCACTTATACATGACACGGGTGGTCTGTTTTTGAAGGCTTGTATAATCTAGGTATTAGGGAGGTCTTTTAACCAAGGCAGCTACTTTTAAAAGCTATTTTTAGAAAAAGACATTTGATTACATAAACAATTTTAAATGTGATGGCAAATGATGTCATTAAAAAGTTAAAAGACAAGTATTTTTGGTGCATAAAACAGATAAAGACTTAATATCTGTGCTCTTCAAGGGACTCTTGGCAAATTGATAAGGAAAAGATCAGTGACCCACCCAAAAAGCAGGGAAGGAATATTTTAGAGTTGGTTCACAGAAGAACATATTCAAATGGCCAAAAAACAAAACTTCAAGGGAATAAAAGAAACAATTAGATACCAGTTCTTAAACCTATTACTGGCCAGTTCCAAGAGATGTTTCTCCACTACTGGTAAAATATAAATTGTTATGGCCTTTTATTTATTTATTTTTTTATTGATTTCAGAAAGGAAGGGAAAGAGAGAGAGATGGAAATGTCAATGATAAGAGAGTCATTGTCGGCTGCCTCCTGCACACCTCCTACTGGGGTTCGAGCCTGAAACCCTGGCATGTGCCCTGCCTGACCGGCAATCCAGGCAATGACCTCCTGGTTCATCTGTCGATGCTCAACCACTGAGCCACACTGGCCACTCTGTTATGGCCTTTTAAAAAACTACCCTATATTATCTATTCAATCCAACAGTCCTTTTGGGAATTTTTCAAGAACCAGCCATAATATATACATAAGCAATATCTTGGAAACAAAGTGAGTGCCTCTATAGGGGCATGCTGCTGGTCTTGGGAAGAGGTGTTCCATTTTATTTCCAAGTGAGAAGAGCAGTGCGCAGATGAGTATTTCAGACTTGAGCCCACATGTAACAGTAGCTGGGGAGAGTTACGTAGGTAAGTAAAGCAAGTAAGATTATGTTGACATTCAAAAGGTGAAGGATTACACACTAGCTCTCTATCTCTCTCCCTTCCTCTCTATAAATATCAATAAAAAATATATTTTAAAAAAAAAGAGTATGTGTTATATATATGAATATGTGTGTAGACACATGGAAAGACATGCAAAATGACACTCACCAAAATGGTATTGGTGGCTTAGACTTAATGGTATCCTTAAACATAGCGATATTGTTTGATATTTATTTATTTTATTTTTCTTCCCTCCTCACCCCCCCCCCCTTTTTTTTTTTAACAAAGAGTAGATGCTATTTATTTAATCGGGGAAAAGGCGAAAACACAACCTGTTTCAGCAGGAAACAGAACTGTAGAACCTTGGAGCTGAGAGTCACATATATAAGTTACTTAGCATGCAGTTTGATTATTCCCTTTGGCTGTTCTTCTCCAAAGCACCATTCCTTTGTAGGAGAAAAATTGCAGATCCCTGCAAAGTACCAAGTATAAGCAAGGAAGAATTCTGTTCTCTGCCCAGGAAGATGATCTGTGGTGTGCATTTGATTGACAATGAAATTTAAGGAAGTGCTTTAAAGTTTCTCTGATTTTTGCCACATTGCTCTGCAGGTCAGTGTCTATCTGAAAATTTCTATGTGAGAGGTGATGGCACCAGAGTTTACTTCTTCACACAAGGTATGGAAACAACACTCATCTTTATGTCAATACTTCCAAAGTATATTAAATGTTCCTCGGTGGACTTCCAGAAGTAGGGTCATCTGGCCCTCCTACCTTTTACAACCTTTTCCTATCCTTTCCCGTCCCTCACAGCCAACCTGAACTGCTCACTGTTCTCCAGATAGGCTCAGCTTGTACATCTTCAGTCCTCCGCCTTATTCTTCTGCTATCTGCCCTTCCTCTCTGTCACATTGTTCAAAACGGGGAAACTAGCCCATTTTGCAAGACTCCAGGGCAGCTGTTTCACCCTCTAATCTGGGTTGTGCCTGAGATGCACCTTAGTTAGGGGAACTCACCATTCACTGGGTTCCAGATATCACCCTGAACTGCTCTCTCCTGCTGCTCGCCCAGCTGCAGTTTCCTTCTCCACCAGTGCCTTAAGAACACTCCATTGCTGGGACCTTTGTCAGATCACATATTTTTCTGAGCCTCTGGTTAAAGTGATAGAACCTCTCTTCTTAAAAACAAACAAAAAAAGGACTTTCACAGACATATAGGTAAATCTTTACATGTAATTTTAAGGTATTCATAGAGCCCTTCTTGAAAACTCCTCCCTATCAGCTGACTCTTAAAGAAGCTCTCCCTTCGGGTTCCATAATACATAAACATCTATTTTCCAAACTAGATGAACTGGACACACTTTTCACGACTGCTGGACTGGAAAAGGTTCAGAACCTGGTGGATCGCCGATTGCAAGTGAACCGAGGGAAACAGCTGACAATGTACCGAGTTTGGATTCAGTGCAAATATCGCAAACCTCTTGTGGCCAACACTGGCTCCTGACAGGATGGGGTCTCCTTGGCTTTTTAACAGAATATTCACAACTGGTGTCTTGTTGATGTTGGACAGTGCAAGGAATCAAACAAACTTGAGCCTTGGACCTAGGAAAAAGTTACTTTTATCAAGATTCAAACAATCACACTTTCTATTTGTGAAGCCCTTTAATGTATACTTTCCTCCAGCTTTTTCTTACTTTGAGATCTCAAAAAATCTTTCTTGCCATTTTATAGTATCTTAATAACTGAAGTATTCATGGAAATTGGGAATTTTAAAGGCATCAAGAAATTATTTCCACGTGCAAGTATCATGTATGATAAAGTGCCATTTGACTGTATGTTTCATTAAGTTATTTGAAATGCAAATACCTGGTTCCAAGGTGTTTTAAGCACATTTTCCTTCTCTAAGTAAACTGTGTCCAAAAATTAAAAGGATCTTCATTTTTAGCAAAATTGCCTTATTTTTTATTGTGTCCTTAAATGTTTGACACAAAAGGAATTGAGAGAACTTTATTTTAGCCACTTCACTTCTGAATGTGATCGTCATCAGTGTTACCTTTTTTATGTTCTGCTTATTTTCAGTTATTATTTTTACATGTTTTTCTCTTGTGGTCTATAAGTTATGTTATATTTTTTTAAAATATGTTTTTATTGATTTCAAAGAGAGGAAGGGAGAGGGAGGGAGAGAGATAGAAACATCAATGATGAGAGAGAATCATCAGCTGCTTCCTGCATGCTTCCTACTGTGAATTGAGCCCGCAACCTGGGCATGTGACCCCACCAGGAGTCGAACCGTGATCTCCTGGTTCATTAGTTGATGCTCAACCACTAAGCAACACCAGGTTGCAATACCAATACCTTTGGTATTCTTTTTTTTTTTTTTATCCTCACCCTAGGATATTTTCCCATTAATATTTAGAGAGAGTGGAAGGAAGGGAGGGAGGGTGAGGCACACACACATGGATTGGTTGCCTCCCGAATGCATCCTGGATCGAACCTGCAACCCAGATAAAGTGCCCGAACCAGCAACCCCTCTGTGCTCCAGCCAACACACTAACCACTGAGAACACTGGCCAGGGCATTATATATTCTTAATTTTACTAAATAAAAAATGTCAATTCCTCATTCCTACATTTTGGAGTTTTAAATTAAACTTAGATATTTTCATAATTGTTTTATTTTATATGTGAAAAGACAAGCAATTTTTAAAATAATTCCAAACTTATGGAAAAGTATAGTACCAAGAATGTTACAAGAAGAGTCACTTTTTTCCTGAATCACTTTTAAGAGGATGTAATTCCTGTTGTAAGACATTCTCCTATATCACCAAATAAGTCTATCAGAAGTAGGAGTTTACATGGAAACACTGTTACCCACAGATAACCAAGTTTTCCCAATGGTCCCAATATGGCCTTTATCACTTTATTTTTTAAAAAGCCATTTTGTTGTACTTGGTAGTCATGTCTCAGCCTCCTTCAAGCTTATTTTTATAACCTTGACATTTGAAGATTATAGGCTATTTTGCAGACTGCCCCACAAATTGGATTTGTTGATACTTCATGATTTGGTTCAAGTTCTACCTTTTTGGCAGGAATATCAGGTAATGCCGTGCTGCTCCCATTCCTTCCTATTAGGATACATGCTTTTTAATTACTCCATTGGTGATGCTAACCTTGATTATTTAATTGAGGTGGTGTCTGTGGGGATTCGCCACGAAAAATTACCAGTAAATATTTTGTAGGGGAGTGTTTTGAGACTACAAATACCCATTCCTCACCAAACTTTATCCCCTGGTTTCAGCATCTTGCTGTTTCTTGCCTGATTACTACTCTATGATGGTGGTCACATAGTGTTTTCTAATCCCGTTACTCCTATATTTATTGGTTGGTGTCTATAAGGAAGACTTTATTTTCTCATCCTTTTATTTAATATGGACTCATGGGTTTCTTTTTTATTCAATGATTGTATACTATCGTACTACCATATTTTTTAAAATATATGTTTTATTGATTTCAGAGAGGAAGAGAGATAAAACGTCACTGATGAGAGAGAATCATTGAATGGCTGCCTCTTGCATGCCCCCACTGGGGATCCAGCCAGCAAACCCAGGCATGTGCCCTGACCAAGAATCAAACCGTGACCTCCTGGTTCATAGGTTGATACTCAACCACTGAGCCATGCCGGCCAGGCTACTATAATAATTTAATGTTCATATTGTCCTAGATTCGGCCAGCAGGAGCTCCTTCAAGTGCTTCTGTAACCTTTTGATGTGTCCCAGTTATTCTTTGAGCACTTCAAGCACAAGTTGTTCTAGGCTCATCTTGTACTTTTTCTGCCCCAGTCTGAATCAGCCATTTCCCCCAAGGAGTTATGTTTCTTTAGTGGAGAAAGGTATTTAGAAACCAAGCTAAGTGTGCTCATTGCTATTGTGGTGTTCCTGTTCCCAGGCCACCTAAGTGGGTGGAGCTGAGGGATATATGTATGTACCTATACATATATTCACATCTATGTTTCTATACTTAAATATATTGAAAACCATCAGTTCAGATCAATACCTTTGACTTCAACACCACAGTTTATTCTAGTTTTGATTCTCCCTCTCTGTACTTGCAATTCCCTTTGCCAATAATTCCAAACTCCCATGATCCACATTGTATTGGACCAATCATTCTTTTGCCACTGCCCACACATAAATGCCCACACCTCTCTAGGGCTCTGATTCCCAACTCCAAGCCACTGTTGCCACCACTTATACAGACACCCTCCTCACCTTGCCCTGGGTCCTGTGTCCCCAGAGGCCACCACCTCTCTGCTCCTGTGCTAACATCTACCTTGGTTGGCTTCACCTGATGAATGTAAAAAATGTGGAAGGGAGCTCCCATCTTTTCATTGCAAGGAATGTATTTAAAAGGAAAAGACTGAATCACTGGGATGGTATTTCATTTATCTTTTGTAATGAAGAACAGATGCATTATTAACTCATGGTCCACTGAAGACCCTCTAAAGCAGCAGTTCTCAACCTGTGGGTTGTGACCCCTTTGGGGTCGAACGACCCTTTCACAGGGGTCACCTAAGACCACTGGAAAACATATAATTATATATTGTTTTTGTGATTAATCACTATGCTTTATGTTCAATTTGTAACAATGACAATACATCCTGCATGTCAGATATTTACATTACGATTCATAACAGTAGCAAAATTACAGTTATGAAGTAGCAACGAAAATAATTTTATGGTTGGGGGTCACCACAACATGAGGAATTATATTAAAGGGTCACGGCATTAGGAAGGTTGAGAACCACTGCTCTAAAGCATTTCAAAGCTACAGGAACAGTTTTGGGGTTTTTAAGATTTTTAAATTGATTTTTAGAGAGAGAAACCTATGTGGGAGCAGAGCTCGGCCAGCGTAGCTCAGTGGTTGAGCGTCAACCTATGAACCAGAGATCACAATTCAGTTCTGGTCAGGGCACATGCCTGGGTTGCGGACTTGATCCCAGTGTGGGGAATGTAGGAGGCAGCCAGTTGATGATTCTCTCTCATCACTGATGTTTCTCTCTCTCTCCCTTCCTCTTTGAAATCAATAAAAATATATTTTTTTTAAATGTGAGAGCAAAACATTATCTGCTGCCTCCTGCATACCTCCTACTGGGAATTAAGACCGCAACCTGGGCATGTACCCTGAACTGGAATTGAACTGGCAACCTTTTGGTGCACACAATGACACCTGACCAACTGAGCCACACTGGCCAGAGCAATAGAAACAGTTTTTTTGTTTGTTTATTTAATTGTTTTAATATATTTTTATTGATTTCAAAGAGGAAGGGAGAGGAAGGAAGAAAGAGATAGAAACATCAATGATGAGACAGAATCATCGATTGGCTGCCTCCTGCATGCCCCCTACTGGGAATCAAACCCTCAACCCGGTCATGTGCCCTGACGGGGAATCAACCATGATCTCCTGGTTCATAGGTCAACACTCAACCACTGAGCAGCCTGGCCGGGCAATAAGAACAGTTTTTATTCCATCTTCCTGGCATCTGACTTAGCCTTTGGCTTAGGTAAAACAGATGAGCCTTTTCCTGACCGTGGTCCCTTTTCTTCTCTGCCTTATGCTAAGCTCTCTGACTTTATGTCAGGCTAACTTGAACTCCCTAAAGGACTTTGCATAATTTTTCAGCCATGGAATTGCTAATGATGAGCAGAGGACAATTAAACATGGTCAGAGTAGATTAAAGTATGACCTTAGTGCCACTCAAACAGAGTGGACTACCAGGCTGACTCCGAACGGCTTCTTTTGATATTTTTAATGCAAAATAAAAAGTGCACTGTTGGCTGGGAAGGTAGCTCCACGTGTGAAACTACTCAGGAAGTTGTGTGGTTTAGATTCAAGTCTAATAGAGAAGTGTTTCTGAAACTGACTGATCTTCCTAAGTAGTGTTAATTTGGCTGAGGAGATCAAGTTCAATGTTGTTTGAAAAATGAGAGACAATTTAATTTTAAACAGGTGCATTGTCGCCATTGGAGTGGATCCATGTTCCTGAAGGTGGTGTTCAGGGTCAGGGCGTAACATGATCACCCGGAGAGCATGGGTCTTTACACCACAAAAGTGATTCATCTCCGATTTTTTGTACTTTAATTTGACCCGGGCCTCTGCTAATGCCGTCAAACTTATGCTTTGTAATGGGTCTGCTACCTGCCTTCATGTAAGTTCATACTCTCTTGGGCTCTGATTGGAAAATTAGGGCCTTGGAACCTTCGTAGGAAAGGAAAGTCTAATGGACTAAGACATCCTATTTTCCTCTATTTGATTTCTCTCTTTGCTTAAAGATGTTACTTTAGTAATAGTGGGGAATTCTATCTGTAGCTTACAAGATGAGCTCAGGACAAACAGCTTCTTTCACTCTTCACAAAGGCCCGTTCTTTGGTTTGTGGCTGCAGCTGCTATTTTCAGAGCCTGGCTGCATCAATGCATAACAGATTTCTGTATGTGTCTTAATTTTGTGTGCAGGTTATGATTTGAGAGGTGGAAGAAGTCCTGGCGGTGAATTTTGCTAGTAAAAACACGGAAATGGTAGATCACAGCCACCTCACTTTATTTCAATGAATTTCTAGGTTCGAGATTGGACATTGTCTCTAGACCAGTGGTTCTCAACCTTCCTAATGCCGCGACCCTTTAATACAGTTCCTCATGTTGTGGTGACCCCCAATTTCATTGTTACAAATTGAACATAATTAAAGCATAGTGATTAATCACAAAAACTATGTAATTATATATGTGTTTTCCGATGGTCTTAGGCGACCCCTGTGAAAGGGTCTTTGACCTCCAAAGGGGTCGCGACCCACAGGCTGAGAATCGCTGCTCTAGACTATAGTTAGTGGACTGCACTGTGTGACCAAGTTATACGACAGGTAGCCACAATCAGATCCTGTGCTCCAGTGGGGGACCCTA